TGTGTGTGTGTGTTTGTGTCCGCAGCAATTTGTCCCCAACTTTCAACTCGGCAACCACAAAGACTAGGAAGCTGAAAATTTTGGGGGAACGTTCTCAACTCACGTGCGACCCCGCAAATTTAAATTCAGCCTACCCGTACCCGCGGGTATCACGTACGGACCCGCAGAAGTTTGGGCGGGTAAAATTGTTATCACGGGAATCACGGAAACTAGAAGGCTGAAATTTTGTGGACATGCTATCCAGAAAATTTAATTTCAGCCTTTCTCTGCCCGCGGGCAACATGTACGGCCCCGTGAAAATTTTTGATAAGTAAATTACTGAAACCACGAAGTCTAGAGAGCTGAAATTTTAGGGTAATGACCCCCTTGCCCACGATTGATCTTGCAAATTCAAATTTAGCGTTCCGCGCTCTCGCGTGTTACCTACGGCCCCTGAAAATTTTTGCGGATAAATTATTATCTCGGGGACCGCAGAATCTAGGAAGCTGAAATTTTAAGATATTGATCCTCTGCCCACTTACGATCTTGCAACTTCAGCGTTCCCACGCTCTCGAGTATCACATACGATCAGTAAAAATTTTTGCGGATAAATTATTGTCCCGGAAACCTCAAACTCTATAAAAGCTGAAATTTTAGGATATTAACCCCTTGCCCACGTATGCCTTACAGATTCACATTCAGCGTTTCAGCGCTCTCGGTTATCACGGCTTCGTGAAGATTTTGTGGGTAAACTATTATCTCGGGAATCACGAAAGGATATTCACCCTTCAATTTTTGAAATTCAGCTTTGATGCGCGTAAAATTTTAACTACTTTTCAACGTTTCAACTATTTTCGCACAGACCAAAGTACAAAGCACTGAAAATCATCAATAGGCAGTCGTTCGGTGGGCGAAATTGCACAAAACGCATGGTCGCACCGGCTAATCTGGTGCGTTTTGCTATTTATTATTTCTTGTCCTGAAAAAATTATGGGAAAAAAGTGGAAAATTTTATATGGAAAATGCTTACACCGAAGTTATTGGGAGTTGTTTATACTGTTTTTCATGTTTTTTATCACAACTTTATTATTGTTTACGCATTATCACAAACTATACTTCTGATAGCTGTGGCACAGTGCTGGAGCCGGTGAATTCCAGCGGTATTTGGGCGATACATTTCTCTCTCTCGTTCGCATTGCAGGTGATCATGTCCAGGAACTATCGGGGTGACATTGAGATGTCGGTGATCGATTCGTTCATGCCACTGCTCATGGAGAAGGAGGACGAGGGCCAGCTAGCCCCAGTGCTGCAGAAAAACGATGTCAGCTATGTGTACGTCAAGCATCTCAACATTTTTCGTAAGTTCTTGAATCGGACTTTGCACTTCAAGTTGGCATCACGTGTTTGATCATTTTTGCTTAGCTAACTTCTTTATAAGTGTAACTGTTTTCCTGCGACAACAATTTAGGTGCTATCTTCCTTAGGTTATTTGAAAGATGATTGCGTGTTTGTTTCGAATGCATGCTTGAAAGTATGGCGACATTTTGCATCACCTTCGTTTTCGATTTAATACCTTTTGTTTTAAAGAATCATGCACGAGTGATTTACGATCAGGTTTCTGAACTTGTCAGTTTTCCGTTTTTAGCTAAGAAATTATCTTACCTAAATTGACACACTTTTATTATATAAATTTTGTTTCCCCTGTTTTTGTTGCATGCCAGGCTTCCTCTGTCTTGCCGTGTTTTCTCCCCTGTTGATTCCCTTTTTTTTCCTTTTGCAATTCTCACTAGCCTTTCAGTTTTTCAACTGATAATCCTGTGTTCGCACATTGGCTTCAAAAATCCTCAATTTTCTGTAAAATTATAATATCATGTTCAATCCCAGTCTAATTAAAATGGTAATAAGATCAGCGAAAGGTTGTGTAAAAAAAAATCGGCATTATTAAATTCCTTTTTTTTTCGTAATTAGTGCAGTAAATTTAGATGCTCAATCCTATTTTATGTTAAAAAAAAGCAATAAAAAGTATGCAAACTGGAACGAGTTGTTTCGATCTATAAGTACGTTTACATTCCCTCCCAGTATCGCAGTTAGACTTCGTCGGTATGACGGTTATTATCTTTAAAAATTAAAATTGCTTGCAAAGTGCAAAATGTAAGTTGTCAATAAGTGAAAAATAAGTGAAAACCAGCCTTGGCGATATATAGATTTGAGTTTAAGATACGCGAATAGTATCGGGCAGCGTCGGATACCAGTAGTTAGTGAGCCCTCATTTTGGTAACAGGAGAATCCTTTGCAACTACAGGAAATATTCGCAGCTCTACTTCGATTTGTTCATCTGTACAGTAAAATGAATTGCGAGTGATGGATGTTTTTTTAGTTGTGACGATATCGAAGAAGAACGCGAATATTGCAATGCTCTTCGCGTTCCTGTACAAATGCATCGAAGTGTTTAGCGAATACTTCAAGGTGCATTTCTACCATTCCAAAGAATAATTAGTCCTTTTTATGCGTTTTTTGCTGCGTAGCAGCGGTAAAAAACGCTTATTGTCACGGGACTGTCTGTGTGTTTGTGTATGTGCCCGCAGCAACTTGTCCGCAACTTTCAACTCGGGAACCACAAAAGCTGGGAAGCTAAAAATTTGGAACAACGTTCTGCACCCGCAAATTTAAATTCAGCCTCCCCATACCCGCCGGTAACACGTACGGCCCCGTAAAAGTTTGGGCAGGTAAAATTATTATCACGGGAACCGCAGGAGCTAGAAGGCTAAAATTCTGTGGGCATACCCCCCGCCCATGTGCTATCCAGAAAGCTTAAATTCAGCTTTCTCCTGCCCGCAGGTAACATTTACGACCCCGTGAAAATTTTTGACGGGTAAATTATTATCTCAGGAACCACGGGGTCTAGGAAGCTTGCCCACATACGACCTTACAAATTCAAATTCAGCGTCCCTGCATTTTCGAGTATCATTTACGGCCTTGTGAAAATTTTGATGAGTAAGCTATTATCTCGGGGATCACGAAACGATGTTCACCTTCAAGGTTTCAATTACAAAGCAGCGAAAATCATTAATAGGCAATCGCTCGGCGGGCGGAATTGCACAAAACGCACGATCGCACCGGCTAGTCTGGTGCGCTTTGCTGTTTAATTTTGAACTTGTAAATTTTTCAGGATTTTGAAGAGGAGTCTGTACGTGACAATTTTGTCGTCTTCTACGAACTTCTGGATGAGATGATGGATTTCGGTTATCCTCAAACAACCGAAGGCCGCATATTACAGGAGTGAGCAATTCGTTTTTAGTGAATCTTCCGTTCGAGATCGTATATAATTTAGTTGTTAATTTGTTTAGGTACATTACACAGGAACGATATATGCTAGATATTGCTCCACGCCCTCCGATGGCGGTCACAAATGCGGTCTCGTGGCGCTCTGATGGCTTGAAATATCGCAAGAACGAAGTTTTTCTTGATGTTATCGAATCTGTTAATATGCTGGTGGGCTTTCAACGCTTGAATTCTTTTAAATTCATCCGTTCTATTTTGCTTTTTAAAATTTAGTTGGTCAAGTTTTACTTATTGATTTCATACAGTTTGATTTTCAAAAGTCGAAGACAAAACCTCCTCCGTATTCATTTTTTGCGAGAATTAGAGGCAGTCCTTAATAGTCCGACTGATAGGACTTGCTAAGAGCAAGCTCTTGCTGCAAGAATGTTAACGCTGTCTCTTTCGAAAGTTGCTTAGGAAAAAGCTGGTGGCAGTTTCGACTCTCTGGCATACAGCATCACTAATTTGTCATCGAAGCGAATGGACAAACAGTAGAAGGATTAATTTTCGCACTGGCGAAGTTGAACCGTTTCGATCTTCAGTTCGAAAGGAGTGCCCTTGCCACTGAGCTACGCATACGAGTCAATTTGATTAAATTTGATGTTCCTTTTAATACTCATTCGCATCTGTTTATTAGGCCAATGCATCGGGCACGGTGTTGCGCAGTGAAATTGTTGGCACAATTCGAATGCGAGTATTGCTTTCCGGGATGCCTGAACTGCGTCTTGGCCTTAACGATAAAGTGCTTTTTCAGACTTGCTCACGTATGTC